ATGCGTATGAATTTTACAATTATTCGGATGTTATTCATGAAGGCGCTAAATCGAGGCGTTTGAATTTCTATTGGAAGAAGTAATTTTTTTCAGTGAGTGGAACGTTCATCAATTTGTTTTTGTTATTTCTGTGATGCAGTTGAAATATGTGGTCGTTGTGTTGCGTGATAGCCTTGTAGGATTGTAACTGAAACTATTATAGGTTCCGTTGAATTTTGTAACTCTCAGCTACATCGTCTAAGCATGCTACCGGAACATCACAGTCGTACGCTAGCTGTTGCTTTGGATTTGTTGTTGAAGGATTTTGAACCAAGGGAAGCTGTTCCATATATGGTGGCTAAATTAATTTTCAGTGACGACCAACAGGATGTTATTTTGACTAAGGTATGTTGAATTGTAGAAATGCTGAGGTATACATCAAATGCACTGAAATGAAATTCATTCTTTGTCGTGAATTACGACGTTGTATGATAAAACTGAATAAATCAATCAGCAATTGTTTATGGAAGTTGTTCAGTCTCCCGTGACCATTTCATATTTGAATAATATTATGTCATTTTGAAGCCAACTCGAAGGCAGAGAGTTCTCGAATTTCTGCGTCAATATCGTCGTTCGGCAATTGATCTTGGTGCGCTAATTCACTTTTTCGAAGAAAACGGTCAACTCCATTTATCAGCTGCGGTTTCAAAGAATATTCAACCAGAACAACGAGTACTTCTTTCTGAACGTGACATTCGATCACGTTTACTAAGAGAGTCAAATTTACCGGGTCCCATCAAGAACTATGTGAAACGAGATGACCTCACCAGGAATCTTGGATCCACCCTCATAAAATATGCTAGCTATGGTTTGTGATTGTTATAATTGTGACTGTGCTAGGAATACGCTGACACCAATCAGATTTTTTTTCTGAAAGCAAAACATTATCGTGCCACTGTTGAAAATCATTTTGACTTTCTTAAATATTAGCCTATAATTGCAATGAAAGAAAAAACATACAGTCATTCAACTGACTTATTAAAAATGGCCTTTGATTC